ATTTGCAGCCGTTTTTGTGTCTAATGCCAAAATAGAATTTTTTTTCTTCGAATGGATTAACTACCGCCTTCTTCAAAATATTAACCTTCGATTTCAACAAAATAAACCTATTTTTTAATTCAAATCAATGGAATACAATATAAAATTCACATGTGATTGCTATTAAAAAGACAATCAGAACCGCTTGAATTCGAAAGTCTACTTATTCGAACTCTACTCCTCAATAGAGACTGACATTTTTCAAGTTTGAAAATTGAAACACAGTTTTATGGAATGAAAATGAAGTTACCATGGAATCCTTAGATCCATCCCAAACCCAATGATCATTTGTAGAAAAAAAAGTCAAAGTCAAAAAACATCAGTATTCAGGTGACGCACTTTGTTTCGTCAAATAAAAACGCTCAAAGAGTCCAATGTATGGCATCCACTACGTAATGGAAGTATTTACAAAACAAATAAGCATGCATCAGCCATAGCCGCAACAACAACAACAACAACAATCATGTCAATAAACATACGCAAACGCACGCTTCGTTCGCGGCAAAAAGTTAAAGCAACAGATTTATTGATCTCGCTTTCTCTGACGAGTGAGGGCTTTGCGAAGTGTTGACAATTGCTTTTGTTTGGTTTGGTTGCATTCCAAATGTTGAAATGTGACATAGCGAAAAACAAAAAATCAACAACAACAACAACAAACGCTGTACGTGTTCCAAGTACAAAGTGAAATTAAATGCGACATTGCGAGTTAGGAGAAATGAATCGATCAAGCCAATGTCCAAGATTTAAGTGGGAATAAATAGAAAAAAAAACCGACGTGTATACAGTACGGACAACTGTCGCAATCAAAGTGCTTGAATGATCGATTTATAGATGAAAGTGAAAAGTCACGTCCAAATAAATGCAGTCTACTTTCCATTTCAAATCGTTCTATTGGCTTAGATCGGGCCTACGTAAATGGTGTGAAATACACGGGTTTTTTTTTTTGGTATCTCAATCAATGGGCTGTCAATGAATGAACAGCGGTGGCAGCGACAGCAGTAGCAGTCGCATAGGCAGACATTGCGTCGATTAATCCAAATTGATAGAATTAATTAAAATCTAACATAATTTTTCACCTTGACCGCACGTTCCATGAATTTTGTTGATTCATTTTGGTGGTGTGGCCGTATAAAATGTGCCATAAATGCGCTTGTAAGTAGCGACTAATAAAAGAAACACAAGACAATATCATTATAGAAATGGTGAATGGAAATCATTTACCTCCCACTGATCGTATCTCGTTTAAAATAATCATGTACGTTGTACGGCCGGAACGCATATTGTACACGCAGTCGGTTGCTTTGAAAGTGCATTGCTCTCATGCAGTTCGGATAGTGTGCTGATGTTCCATTGTATGTGTTTAGTCTGTGTCAACGCAGCGCTCATTTTTTTTTCTCTCCCAAATTATGCGTAATGCCAGTCATTAGAGATCAAATCGAAATGTCACTTTTTTTTTTTCTCCCTATACATTAAGCGATGCCTCACTATGAATGATGCAAAAGAATGATGCATTACTGGCTAAAGTGGTCGTACGTTGTCATCACAACAAACAATCACTTTCATAATAAACATACAATAAATGTTATAGTACGTCTTTTATTGCATTCGCAAATAATATTTCCGTCCATTTTTTTTTCTTCTTGACAATTTTTCCGTTTTTTTCCTCGTTGGCTCGTAAAATTGTGTGCTGTTCACTGTACGTATACCATCGATGAACAGTGACAACGTGTGAGAGAGTTAGAGAGATGTCATTGATCACATCATTAAGAAGCCATAAAAGTGCGATGCTCACATGGTGCCAGACGACCGTCTAGCATAACATAATTCAACAATGGAAATTTCACCTCTGAAATGGTGTTGCAATTGTGCGTCATATGCGGTCTTAAAATCGCATCTATTTACGTTTACCTACGGTTTTGCACCGAATTATCATCAGCGATATTTAACATGGAAAGAAATACGTTTTTTTTCATTTTTAAGCGGCTGCTTGGAATTGTTTTTGTGCGCATTTTGTTTTGAAATTGAATTTATTTGATTTCGTTTTCGTTTTTATTTTCTTTCATTTTAATTATTTGTTTCTGTTTACAATGTTTCTCTTCGGTTTGTTCAACTACCGCAAAGTTTTTCGAAGAAGCTATGTTGCAGAGAAAAAAGAAACGATAGATTTCCATCACAATTTTATGCATGTGCATTTCATGCGGTACGAAAACTATTTACTTTCTGTCACATGTGCACAGATGAAATCTATGCGATTCACACCGTGTGAGCGCGCGCACCTTTTTTTCTTTTGCATCTCGTTTTTTTTTTTTTTTATATAAGCAATTGTGCGATAGTTTTCATAAGCGTGACTCTAATGCGAATACATCTCCGATTTCATGTGTGTATGCATCTCTCACCGTTTTCCAAACAGCATCGCATTTAAGTCATACAAATAACACATTCATAGAAATAAATGCATTTGTAAACCATAAGAGCAGAACATGTTCTTTGAACTTATCTCCGCCATGCATAGCATCGACATTGACACACAATATCATATTTATGCTGGAACATAAAGGGAAAAAAACAAATTGTGTTGCTAAAAAGTGCCCGAGGTGGGTATAATTAGGTATCTGCGGTACTTATTACGGCAGAACATATTTGAACTCCATTAGTCAAATTGTGTGGCGGCAACACTAGAATATTTCTAACCTAAACGAACAAATGAAGAGAACAAAAAAAAAATCTCGTTACGGCTTCTTTACCATATTTGTGCACCGAATCGACAGATGGCAAAGATACATTGAAGTGTAAATATCATACAGATTATCGCCAAGCATATTATGAAGACGTGGGCTTGTCCATGTCCAAACACAATCAAAATGTGAATACCACAAAAAAGGCTGTGGTCTTCGAAGTTGATGTGGTGTTTAATGAGATTCCCTCGATTGCAAGCCATTTGTATATGCTCGTGCGATTTGTGTGTGTTTTTTTTTTCACTTTCATTTTGGCAATCGACTCTATATTCGAAACTGAGAGTGAGTCAAAAATCAAATGACGTCTAGCACAACTGGACGCAAACGTGCCTGTAAAGTGTATTAAGGTGGAATATCAATTAGCCGTCGAAACGTGCTCAAATGCAAATCGTTTGCAATTGAACACCGTTCGCAAAATGAAAACAAATGAAACGGACCATTTTGGAAGCGAAGTATTCAATAAACACAATCACAGTCGAAAAATCTTCATATAGTCGGAAATCGGGTTTTATTTTTTCAACCTTTCAGTTTGTTCAATTTTCATTCAAATGTTAGCCCTTGAAAAATTGATGGCGTGCAGTGCACAATAAACTTTCTCAGGGCTATAGAAAAATCTGCATATTTAGGTCTGATTTTGTGAATTTCTGGTCAATATTGTCGATGATTTCATATATGTATTGTGTGGTTTGGAAGAAAAAAAATCGTCGTGGTTGTGGTATAGTGAAATGACATCATCACGATTTAGAGTTTTAAGTGTTGACGACATCACATAGGCTTACAATGAACAAATAGAAAAGCGAAACCAACGATGAAAAAAAAAACGAGCCAAACAAACAACTGTCAATGTGATGATACTTGACTGAACGCCAACTAAAACGAAATCGGCAGTAAATGCCAATTTCATGTATTTTGTGCTTTTAATTCTGCTGCCAGTTTCGAATTTTACTGCTTCCCGGTTCTTCATTTCCTTCTTGTCGGAGCGATGGAAAAATGGTATTCTCTCGTGAGCAATTGATAAATATTTCGGATGTTAATTAGATTTTCATGGCATATCCATTTTAAGGTCAATTTAAAAATGCCAACGGATAATTACGCACCAAAAAGATCGTAAATGCAGATGTTCACGGTTTTCGTTTTGCCATGCACCATACATACATGCAGGTCAATATCGATTTTTCTTGCGTGCTCGTCGAATCGCTAAAAAAACTGTGTAACCTTTATTTCCGGTTAGAATATAATCGAATCGACAACCCACTTTCGGTGGCATTTCTTTCCATGGTTCTGTATGCTGTTGGCGTAGGACATGATTTCTAGTCTAGATATTTTATGTGAGCGGTGTTTTACGCTGTACATGGAAAATAGAATTTACAATATGTGTGTGCGTGTGTGTGTGTGCTTGCGCTTCACAATCTACGTTTATTCAACAATCGTTTGAAATTCTAATTAAATTGTCCGATGAGGAAGTAAACTTACTTTTTAACGCGCTCGTGCGCGCTTTTACAAACACAGACACACGCAAATACACTGGCTCATTGTAAACAGACTCGGTTCGAGTTCATCAACATCCGCAATACTCATTGCTAGCTGATTAAGACCACAAGTCTGACAAGCTATTTCACATCTCGCTCCTATTATAACGTTTGTGTTTAACACACAGGATGCTGTGAATGTAAGGATTCCATCAAGACAAACGACTCGACAGCATGAAAAGGCACACTTATTAAATATAGAAGCATGAGCCCATGAAATCATCGCGCTTTCGCACACCAGATAACAGCCGTTTAGATATGACTAAGCCATTATGCCACCGCAACAACTCATTTCCAACTCTGTTTATCAATAAAATTATTTTAATTTTTATATCGTTCGCCAAGTACGCAAATAAATTCTACTCTAAACGACCAGCCGCGCGCTCTCGCATAAATCAAATGCGTGCGTGATGCACACTGTGTTTGACAACCATCGTAACAAGTTTAACCCAAAGAAATACACTGAATTTAAATCCATTTAATTTACGTTTAGTGCGTTGGTTAATGTTTTTTCTCTGGTTTCATTTGCCTTTGCATTTGGGATGGGCAATTCTAGAGAGTATAATCGTGAATCAAGATTTGAAAGGAAGAATACGTGCGTTCAACAAAACAATTTACCATTTAATTTATTTAGTTAATCGGATTAAGACTTATAAAGTATGAGTGATTAACGGCAGTTTTATTTTTTATTCCATAGAAAACCTAGTTCAAAAATGGCAATACCTCCACCGCCACCTGGACCACCCGGTCCACCACCGCCTCCTATTGGAAATTTGAAACTTGGTGCTCCGGCTTTTGGTGAGTTTTTTTTTTCGATTTGCTTATTCGCGAGTGTTTGATGATAATTCTTCTTAGTCAATATTGAGTCAATATTATTGACTGAGACTTTGCTTCTAGAACAGAGCGAAAGCAATTTATTTCATCAACAAAATGATTTGATTTCCGAATTCAGTGTCACCCAAGTGACTAATACAAACATACATTTTATCGATAGGCAAATCATCGGGTGGTGATCCACGATCAGCGTTATTAGCAAGCATTCAACAAGGGGCAAAACTGAAAAAGACCACAACAGTGGATAAAAGTGGGCCACTTGTTTCAGGTCGAATAGCAGACGCAAACAGTAATAATGGCCGAACAAATTCGGCGGCTCCATCACGGCCGCCACCACCAAATAATGGAACGAATGGAACGCTGAGAGGGCCATTTGAAGGAATGTCCGGTATGCCAAAGTTAAAGCCAATCGGAGGCAGAAGTAAGTGTGCTTTGCATTGCATAGCATTGAACCAACAATGAACCAAATTCACAATTGAAACATTGTTTTGTTTTGTCACATTCAAATAGCGATAGGAGTGGCGTCACCAACGAGAGAGCCATCATCCACATCAACTGGTGGCAGTCCACAGAATACAAGCAATGGTACAGCCCTTGACTTCAGTACAGAATTATCACAACGCATAGCAATGAAAAATCAGAAACAAAATCAACAAAAATCGAATAACGAAATGAATACAAGAAATCGCGGCCCACCACCGCAACCACCAAGCAAATCTGTTACCGACAATAATAGTAGCCCAACAACTACAACAAACAGCAGCCCTTTAATTAAGCAATCAAATAGGTAAGCATATCGAACTAGCTGCTGGCGTAGGTTCTCTACTTTCTTTGTTTGTTCATTTTTTTATTTTGGATTTTTTTTTTTTTCAATTTATCATTTCAATTAAAATGGCCGACGTGGCTCGGTTTTTTTGTTGTTTGGATTGTGTAACAGTGCATCGCCGACGAGTGTATCATCGAATGGGGCGAATATATCGATATTACCAAATAAATCGTCATTATTCGGGAATAGTGTAAACTCAAATGCAATCGGCGTGAAGACAACGGCGACTGCGATGACAACGACAACAACGAATAAAGTGGTACCAAACTATGGAAAGCCGACTTGTGCGCCAAAGCCACCAGTTACGGCAAAAAATGGCCTGAACGCACTTACCACAACCAATAATGGGAATAGTACACGATCAAGTGTGTCGCGATCACAAAGTGTGCGGGCGCCAAGGTTTGTCACCCACAAAATATTAAAGATCGCTGCGATCGCCTCATCTTCTAAACCACTTGACCATTGGCACTTTGCTTTTGTTTTCTTCATTTTGCCCGTTCAGCCTTTTTGCTAATAATCGAGGCTAGAAGTCGTTGTTCGATCGAAATTAATTGTTGTTTTATTTTCTATTGTTGCCCAATCCATTTGCAGATCGCCACCAATTTCAGTTGCTGGTTCCACATTTCCACAACAATTTGGTACAATACGCGGCGTACCGGCCGCTTTTCAATCACAAGATGCAATCAATTCGGTTAGCTTGCGACCCGCACCGACAATTAATCGGCCAACAGTAGCGCCACCAAGACCTCCAATTGAAGCCAAATCGGCGGCTGTGAGAGAGAAAGAGGTAAATTGTCCGAGTCAGCAGCAAATTTTTAGCCAAATCTTTAATGAAAGTTTAAATTTTTTTTTTACATATTTGCAGCAAGCACCTCGTACTGGTCCACCGGAAAGTCGATCTCAGGGTCGAACCAAGAGTCCTCCACCTCCGCCAAAACGAAGCGTATCAAATACAAATCTACCAGCACTTCCATTGAGCGTCGCATCGTCGGCACTCTCGCCGAATTTGAATTCCATTTCAAACAGTGCGGCTATCAATTTCGGTGGTTCAGCCAGTAACGTTTCAACTTTAATGAATAATATTGTAAGCATTCCCGAATCTGTTTTCAATGCGTCATCATGATTTTGTTCAATCATATTTTGTTTATAATCTCAAACTATCTCGGCATTCAACATTATTTTGTGAATTTGTCATCGAACTATGGACGTTATGTTTCAATTCTGATTAAATGAATGTCCGAGAATGAAAACGCAACTTCTATTCACAACACATATAAGTGAAACAAAAATAAAAAAATTTATTGAAATGAAACAACAAAATCGAATTTTTTCAAAGTGTAACAACAAAAAAGATTTTTTTAAAGTGTAACATCGGTATGT